GGACCCCACTGGTGCACAAATTTATGCACCGGGCCTCTAGTGTCTCATATAATACTGTTCCAAAAGATGTTTAGGTATGCTGCAGGGATGGAGGAGGGGGTAGGGGATAGGAGAAGCCATGGGAAAATGTAATGTACCCCTTTTGGAGATCCATAATACACAATGGACAATATAATAAAGGCTCTAGAGAAGTTCAGCATTACAGAAACCTTTGGTTAAACAAGTTTATTTTGACACAAAATTCTTCTATTATAACTATTCACATTTTGTGTTTAGAAAAACTGTTTGAATAAGTGTAACTTAATTAAAACCCACAACAGATAGCAAAAATGGATAATTCTTAAAGCTCTCCTTCCACAAAATATTAATTCTTTAAAAAAAAAATCCCTAATTTCAGTTTAGTGCACTCCTTTTTCTTCACCTATCAATGCCTAGCTCAATTATCACCTCATTTGAGGAATTTTCTCCCAGCACTTCCTATATTACTATTTCTTTCTCCTTATTTAGATAGCATTTTATTCATATACTAGAAGCCTGGTGCATGAAATTCATGCACAGGCAGGGTCCTTAGGCCTGGCCTGCGATCAGGGCCAATCAGGTTCCCTGTTCTCCACCTCCTCCTTCCCTTGCCCTGCCCACCTCCCTGCCTCCCTGCCTCCTCCTTCCCTCACTCCCTCAGCACTCCCCTGCTGCTGCTGGTGGTTCACCACATTCCACTCCGCTCCCTGGTGGTCAACACAAATCATAACAAGCGATAGAACTCCTGGTCTCCTGGTTGAACTCCTGAGGGGACACTTTGCATATTAGTCATATATATATATATATATATATATATATATATATATATATATATCTCCTCCTTATCCTATGATAAATCAGTTCATCCATCTTTCTTCTTGTTAGCTTATAAGCTCTTTCAGAATAAAATTTGATTATATTTTTGAGAACCTTGAAAAGTATGGAACACATGTAAGTTTCATGATGAAGTAAATAATTTCACTGTAGTATAATAGTGCCCAGAATTCAATACTTGTATTTCTAAACTGTTACTGATATCCTGCCAACTACTTGAGAAAGTTTCTCCCCTAAACCTTACATTGATAACTGAGCAGCTGTGGTCATGGTTAACTCAGTTGTGACATGCCCTCTAACTAAGCCCATTCATAGTTATTTCCTCAAGTGATTTCCGTTTGCTTGCTTTTTATGTTTTGTTTTTTTCAATCAACAAGGAATGTTGAGTAACCTTCATTATCTTTTCATATCTCTGTGCCTTTGTGCCTGCGGGTCTCTGCTTAGCATGCTGTCTCAAGTTTCATTCACTTGGAAGACATTCCTACTTATCTTTTAAGAATGAGCTTAAGAAATACCTTCTCTAGGAAACCTTCATATATTCCTATCCTTTCAGAAATAGTTATAAATTCCTCAAGTCATACACTTGTGCATCTATCTATAATAATAAAAGGGAAATATGCGAATTAGACTGGGAGACCTCCAGATGTCCTTCCAGACAAAGCCATGGTGGCAGAGCCGAGGCAGATGTGGTTAGGGGCAATCAGCCAGGAGGGGAGAGCAGTTGGGGGCAAGTAGGCTGGAAAGGTGGGGCAGTAGGGGGTGAGCAGGCCGGCAGGCAGAGTGGTTAGGGGTGATCAGGCAGGCAGGCAGGCAAATGGTTAGGAGCCAGCTGTTCCGGATTACGAGAGGGGTCCCAGATTGGAGAGGGTGCAGGCCAGGCTGAGGGACACCTCCCCCGGCACAAATATTGTGCACCGAGCCACTAGTTACTATATAACATGCACCAAACTAAGTGCCATGGATAGAAGAATGAAGATTTGGATCCTTCCTCATGGAGCTCATAGTCTAGGAAGGAAGACAGCCATATGAACAAATAACTGCACTATATTACATGCAAGAGCAAAAGGAAGATTTATGGAATACTGTGACATGTGTGAATTACTTTGTTAGGAACTTTATTGAACATTATCTGTGATCACATGATAGGTATTTGACTTGGACAGACATTCAAAAAACTCTAAGGACTCCCATAGTCTTGTCTTCTGAAGAAACTCTCTCCATTGGGTTCTTTTGTATATACTATAGTCTGTGGGACAGATAATGCATGAAACTAATCCTACTTTTTATTTTTTAAGATATATTTTTATTGACTTCAAAAGGAAGGGAGAAGGAAGATAGATAGAAACATCAAAGATGAGAGAAAATCATCAATCAGCTGCCTCCTGCACTCCCCACCCTGGGGCTCCAGCCTGAAACCTGGGCATGTGACCTAACTGGGAATTGAACTGTGACCTCCTGGTTCACAGGTTGATGCTCAACCACTGAGCCAAGCTGAATGGGCCAATCCTACTTCTTTGACCATGAAAGTCTGGACCAAGACTCAGAGTCCTAACTAAAGACAGACTGAACTTTAAGGAAATAATCTAGGACATGGCTTGGCTCAAAAGGAAGTGTTATGCACAGAGTAGAACAGAAATGTCCTGGAAGTCAGTATTCTATGGGATATGAAGTGGGAGGGGGCACAATAGGTTTCACTGTGGTCAAGTTAATCTATAATTCCAACCTGGACCTCCCCACTGAGCTCTAGTCTGCTAGCTATCTGTCCCTCTTACTTAAATAACATACCTATAAGGACAGGAGCTTAATCTCTAGTTTGTTCACCACAGTCTAGACAAGACCCTGACTTATAGTAAATGCTTAATAAAAAAATTGTTGATTAAAAGAATAAGTGGATGAACTCTCAAAGAAGCTAAGGAATCTACAGTGGACAGCAGGAGGGGGAGCTGAGGGAGGAGGGCTAACAGGAAATAGACTCCAGGGATCATTTACAAGTACAGTTGATCCTCATTATTTGTGGATCCAGTATTTAAGAATTCGCCTACTTGCTAAAATTTATTTGTAATCCTAAAATCAATATTCAATGGCACTTTCTCAGTCATTTACAGACATGCACAGAATAGTGAACATTTCCAGCTATAAGTAGAACAAGGCAGGGCTCTCTGCCTTCTTTCAGCTCTCATATTGAGATGACTAAAGGACCAAACGGTAGGGGGCAGTGCAGCGCAGTGCAAGGAGCTTTGTCACTGGAGCCAGTAGAAAAGGGTTTGAATCCTAACTCTGGCACCTATTAGGAGGTGGCCTCAGGGAAGTCACTTAACATTTCTGAACCTCATTTTCTCTCTTCAAAAATAAGAAAACAGAATCTACCAGGATGAACTGTATTTAGTATTTAAGATTACTTCCCCTGAGAGCAATGGTTCATTATTTGCTAATTTAGTGATCTAGGTGACTTTACAGACCATAATTACTGTGAATAATGTGAATCCACTGTCATTATTTATAATAAAAAATGACAGAAAGATATAAAAAAAAAACCACACACACAATTATTTGGATGGAGTAGAGGTCAGTGGCAAACTTTAAGAAGATTTTAAAATAGAACCTCATTAAGCACATAGACTGTGGAAAAAGCCTTCAAAAGGAGAGAACAGCACCTCCAGAGAGAAGCCAAGGTGTGTGACATACACAAGGAGGTTCGGGAAAATGGCACTTGAGAAAGTCCAGGGCAGGGGCCACAGGGCTTCTCTGGGACCTGTTCACATCCTGTAATGCACAGCTTCTCCCTCTACCTTCCATTCTTAGTGCACAGGTCTTCCGTTACATTGTGAAGTCTTTAAAGGCAAGATTTTTATGAAGAAATCTAACTCTAGTCCTTTAAGCTTACAAACAAGTAATTTTTAAGTACAAATCCACAGGAAAAGTACAACAATAATGTTGGTTTTCAATTGCAGCCTTATACTAATTCACAATAGCGACCCACCAACAAGTTTGTTATTTGTTCAGGACTTTTCTTTGTTGACTGCTAGTAATTCTGTCAGAAATTCTTTTTATGGTTCTAAACACCTGGAGATTTGTTGAAATAGCTTTAAGATCTTCCTCTTTTTAGTGCGATTTATTAATAGGGTTCAAACATATGGTCCATCAAACAATGATGCCTCTTCATAGTAAAGATTCCTTTTACTGGAATTACTTCTCTACTGGACTTATTTCTCTATATACAATATATAGCTTTACCATAGCAAAATACAAGGAAGCACTGTATTTTTATATTTATGTTACAAATAGAATAAGAAAAACAGTAAGAGTTTTTCACAAAAACTTGCCAAATTCTGACCAAAACAGTGTGGACATGATTAAATTCACTGCTTACAATTCACCACTGAGAACTAGGAAAAACAATTCCAATTTATGCAAAGCAATGAAACTAAGCACTATTAGAATTTACAAGGCTTTGTACACATGTATTTTCTTTTTTCCACATGCACCCTCTCTCTTTCATACATGCACAGCCTAAGGAGCCATCAGACTTATCCCAATACTTCACTTTCCCCCAGCTCCCAAAACAAAACCCTCATTTACAAAACCCTGCAATACCTAGGTTAGCATTTTTAAAACTCTAAAGTCTCAATCAAATCTAAGTGCGGTGAGTTACTTTTTCCCCCATAAAAGTATTGGCATAATTTTATTTAGACACATCATAGTTTGTACTGTCATCTAGAACATATGGCTGCAATCAACATGACTGAAACCCAACATGATACACTATGAAGGTGAATACAAATTCTCGGTGAAAGTGGAATAGAGCATATAATTTTTAAACAGTTTCAATGCTATTATCATCCACAGGCTGCGTGTGATCAAGTCTCATTGTGCTAAAGCATGTTCTATAATTTACGATCAACTAGAATGGTCAGGCCCTCACCCTGCAAACTCTCTGCCACCTCCAATGAAGCTGTTTAAAAATGGAATCCAATTCTGTCTCCTTAAAAAAAATAATAATACGTTTTAAATTCCTCACTGTCGGTCAATCCTTCTCACCTGCATTTTCAGAAACTGTCACCAAAACAACTGTATTGGGACGAAGACTCTAAGCGAGGACATAACGACCCAATGCTATTTTGTTTTTAAGGAAGACAAGAATGGTTTACCTTTAACAAAACCGATGAAAGTTCCCACTGTAAAGTTCCCCCTGTACAGCGTGTATTCTTGCTTCTCGGGTGCTCACCTTTCCAGCTGCCTGGGAGGGACGAGTGGAAAATGTTAAGTTTCCATGAGAGATGAGGATGAAAGGTAGGAGGTGGGGGGAGGAGGGGAAAGGACTCACTCGCGAAGGGAAGGCAGAAGAGAAGTGGTCAAGGTAGATCCCCAAACGCAAATGAGGTCTCAGGAATGAGGGGCTTGGAGCCAAAGGGGAGGTAGGAGCAGCAGAAACGCAAAACCCGCACGGAGAGGGGGGGAGGGGGCAAATGGGGGAGGGGCCAAATGCGCATCTCCCCCCTTCCCACACCGGGGCAGGGGGACAAGGGAGGCAGCATTGCTTCATCTGCCCGGTAGGAAAGGGACCCGCGAACCAGAGACTTCAGTCCGAGAGTTCGAGGGAGGCTTAGGGGGCTCAGGGAAGTTGGGAGTGGACGATGAACAGCGCGCCTTTGCAGGAAAAAAAACAAACAAAAAAACCCGACTAAGAACCCCCTCGCCTCCAAGGGGCTCAGGGGCACCGCAGTTGACGTGGCGTGGACCTGCCGGTTCACCCTCCCGAATGGAGCTCGGGCAGGCGCGCGCCGCCCCTCGCAGCCCGAGGGCGGCGGACAGGGAGGCGCAGGGCGCCCCCCAAAACCTGGAGAGCGACGCTTCCCGCGGGGTCCCCTCCCCAGCAGCCCGGGCGCCCGAGCCCACCTGAGCTGACCAGAAGCCCCTCCTTCAGACCCGACTCGGTCGATCGCTCTCCCGAGAGCCTCAGCCGTCGCCACCGCCGCAGAGATCGCCGCAGCCAGGACGGTCCCGGCCTCCCCGGTCGGAGCGTGAGCCACACAGAACACCACGAAGAAGCGCCCCACCACTCGCCAGGTTGCCTCTTAAAGCGCACTGACTCCTCGCCCCGCCCCCGAACCCAAGCTATTGGTTGCTGGGCACCGCCCTATTCGCCTATTGGGCCGAAGAGGATGCCGCTCAGTCACCTAACAGGGCACGTGGGGTGCTTATTGGCTTCAGTGTGAAGTGGTGCCCGCCCCCTCCCTCAGAAGTACCAGCTTCTGATTGGTAGTAACATCTGTCCCTTTGCTCCCTTCGTTCTTTTCCCTCCAGGTGGAGCGCCTCCCTGCGGGAGACACGGGCTCTGATTGGCTGGAAGCACGCTGTGCTGGTCCTGGATGAGGCATTGGGCCAAAAGCATGGGGCGTCCCGGCTGGGAGGAGCCCAAGGAGCAGCACCTCTGCATTTGTTTACCCAGGCTCCTGCTCCCGCTTTAGTCCATTGGTGGATCCAGCAAGTCCTCCCACAGGTTGCACCTCACAGTATAACTGGAGCGGCGGGCCTCAGTGGGATTTCCCCAGCTGTCAATTTCCAGGGAAGGAGCTTTGAGGAAAGTTGGATGGGAAATGGTTCTGGCGGAAAACTGGGGAGTTGGGCTATTTAAGGGAGTGGAAGGAAGCATTTGCAGAAACAAACCTAACTACTGGAGTGTTTTTAAAAGCATGCAATCGTATTTCCCCCTTGGATTTAGGGTGTCCAATCTTTGCTTGCGAAGGACTTCTCATTTATTGATCGGGAAGTGGGGACTTCTTTATGGACATCTTACTTTATACATTTTTGGTCTCTCCCCACCTCGCATGCTAACTATGTACATAACACCAAGTAGAGGTTTGGTAAGTGATTGCACAATGAGTGGACGATTGATAAAAATGAAATTGACAGTTAATGTCAGGTTAAATAACATAATAGTGCAACAAATGTTAAATATGTACTTCATATAAATAATATAAACACGTGCATAATTAAATTCATACAATCAACAAGTACTATTGAACATATGCTCTGATCTTTGCTTTGAGTAATTGATATGACTAAAACAATGAAGATGGTACTTATTCTCTAGTGGAGGAAACTAATGATAAACAAGTAACCAATAAGTGATAAAATATCATCTTGTGATTAAGTATTACAAAGAAAAATAAAGCAAGGTAAAGAATGTTTGAGGAAATGGGCTATTCTGGGTAGAATAATTAGTTTAAGAGCTGTCTGAGGAAGGAACATTGAACAGAGATATGAATAATGTGAAGAGTAGGAAGGTGATTGATAAGCAGGGCCAGGACATTGCACTAGTCACATTGCTTCATATATTTCCAACGTGTCTTATTAAGTATAGATTCTTTCAGGATTGCCTGCTCTTGTTTTAAGCTTTATCTGATTAAATAATTTAAATGGGTTCTACAAGAAACACATCTCTTATTATTTTTTTTTAAATATTTTTACTAGAGTCCTGGTGCACAAAATTCGTGTGGGGGTGGAGGTTGGGGGGTATCCCTCAGCCCAGCCTACAACCTCTCCAATCTGGGACCCCTCAGGGGATATCTGACTGTTGGTTTAGGCCTAATCCCTATTAGGCCTAAACCGGCAGTCAGACATCCCTCTCACAATCTGGGAGCACTGCCTCCTAACCACTCGCCTGCCTTCTGGATTGCCCCTAACTGCCTCTACCTGCCTGCCTGATCATCCTCTAACTGCTCCTTTCCCAGCCTGATTGCCCCCCCAACTGCCCTTCCCTGCTGACCTGATCGCCCCCCAACTACCCTCCCCTGACGGCCTGATAGCCTCCAAACTGCCCTCCCCTGCCAACCTGATGGCCCCCTAACTATCCTCCCCTGCTGGCCTGATAGCCTCTAACTGCTTGCTCCTCTGTGCTGGCCTAATCTCACATCTAACTGCTTGCTCCCCTACCAGCCTGATCACCACTAACCACCTCTGACTTGGGGGACCTTCCCCCCCCCCCCGACCCCCAGGGCTTTGTTCGGAAGGAAGTTGGATGTCCAGAAGATGTCTGGTTGATCTGGTCTAATTAGCATATTACCCTTTTATTAGTATTGATTTCAGAGAGAGAGGAATAATAATAATGAGAGAGAATCATTGATTGGCTGCCTCCTGCACAACCCCTACTTCACACCTCACAACCCAGGCATGTGCCTTGACCGGGAATCAAATCCTGACTTCCTGGTTCATGGGTTGATGCTCAACCACTGAGCAACACCAGCCAGGTGAAACACATCTCTTTTAGAAAAAAACATCAACAAACTGTCTTCAAGATAACTTCCTCATATCCTCCATTGCTTCTTTTCCTAAGGTGATCTGTAGATGTATGGTGCGATAGGGGTTTACATTATCTCATAGCTTTGAAACACAGGGTTGTCAGGTTCATATGATATCCTTTCACAACCAGAAATACTCTTCAATGATGAAGACTTATTACAGGATAGCAATGAGATGTGGTTGGTGGACAACTGTCATTTCCCTCCCTATCACTAATACTGTCTCTTATAAATTCATTACTGGATATCACCAATGATAAAGAGAAAATCTTAAAAACAGACGGAGAATAAAAGGTACATTACATACATAGGGGAAAGACAATAGGAAACAGCAGACTTCTTACCAGAAACTATAAAAGCCAAAAAAGACAGGAGGAAATAGCCAGGTGGAGACTTGGTAGTAATATTCAGAAAAACAGGAGTCTAAAGGCACAGATAGGAGACAATAGTCAGTTATGAAGTTGTAGGGGATGGTGTCAGTTGGCAAGAGGGAGACAAGAGGAGTTTACCAACCCTTTCCCACATCCAATTGATGTTATGGTGATAAATTTTCATTCTTGAAGAGTATCTCTTTAATTTTATTGTGGTAAAATACACATAACATGTATTTTATTATTTTTATCATTTTTAAGTATGCAGTTCATCAGAGTTCACAAGAGCATTCACATTGTTGTGCAACCATCACCACTTGCATCTCCAGAACATTTTCATCGTCCCAAATGAAATTCTGTACTCATTAAACAATAACTCACCATGTCCTCTTCCCCCATTACCTAGAAGTCACCATTGTACTTTCTGTCTCTATTAATCTGACTACTCATAGCAAAATTATACAATATCTGTCCATTATGTCTGGTTTCTTTTACTAGGTCTTATGGTTCATCCATGTTGCAGTATATATCATAATTTCATTTTCTTTTAAAGCTGAATAATTTTCCATACTATTTATATATACTGAAGAGTATATGCATATGTATATACCGGCTTTGTTTAAACATTCATTAATGGAATTTGACTACTATGATTAATGCTGTTATGAACATTGGTATACAAATGATCTGTTCAGATCCCTGCTTTTAATTCTTTTGGGTATATACCCAGAAGCAGAATTGCTGTATCATATGGTAATTTCATGTTTAACTTTTGGAGGATCAGCCATAGTCTTCCACAGCAGCTGCATATTTTATATCCCCCACCAATAGTGTAGCAGTATTCCAATTTTACCATTTCCTCACAAACACTTACTTTCTGTTTGTTTGTTTTTTTAAAACAACAGCTATTCTAATGAATGTAAAATAGTATCTCATTGTGGTTTTGGTTTGCACTATCTTAATTATTAGTGATATTGAGCATCTTTTCATGTGCTTATTGGAAATTTGTATATCTTCTTCAGAGAAATGTCTAGCTAAAAATCAGGGATTCTACTATTTAAAAGAGAATAGATATAAAGGTCACAAAGGAACTAAAAGATAAAGTTGAAGAAATGTCCCATGATGCAAAATAAAAAGGAAATTTGATGGAAAATAGGAGACAATGTGTGAGAAATGTTCTAGAAGTAGAGAACAGAGGGAAGGATATTCATTAAATACCAAAAATATGTCTCATAAATGAATTAACCTGAGTATAATTGGAAGAACTCAAGTGCCTAAAACTTTAAATTAAAAAAAGTTCTCACCAGTAATAATACTTGTTGAATTTTTGCTATGTGTCAGGCACTGTTTTAAGCACTTAATGTGTATTAACCTATTTAATCTTTAATACAGCAGCATAATTGCTGTTATTATCCCCATTATACAAACAGAAAACAAGTGGGAAAAAGATTATGTAATCTACTCAAGAACATTCACCTAATAAGTGGTGGAGTTGTGCTGTGGTCACTCTACAGATGAGGAATGGATTCAAATGTCAATAATGATGACACCATACACATGCCAAGAAGACTTGAAGAGACTTATTGTGCACAACAGGTCTTCCATACCTCTGGGTCCCAAGCAAGGCCGGAAATGTCCACCTCCAAATATCATCACACTGTGGATTAAGTTTCAACATATGAATTTTGGGAAGATACCAACATTCAGTCTATGGCACTAGAAACTATACCCAGCCATACTATCAATTAAGTGTGAGGGAAGAATAAAAACATTTTTTAAAATATATTTTATTGATTTTGTACAGAGAGGAAGGGAGAGAGATAGAGAGTTAGAAACATCGATGAGAGAGAGTCATCGATCAGCTGCCTCTTGCACACCCCCTACTGGGGATATGCCTGCAACCAAGGTACATGCCCTTGACCGGAATCAAACCCAGGACCTTTCAGCCTCCAAGCCAATGCTCTATCCATTGAGCCAAACCGGTTTTGGCAGAATAAAAACATTTTTAAGACAATGAAGTTCTCAACAAATTTACCTCTCAGGTACCCTTCATAAAAGCTATTGGAGGATGTGCACCACCAAAATTAGAAAGTAAGTCAAGAGAGAGAAGACACAATTATGCCTTAAAAAAGCTGGAGGGAGGGAAACAAGAGAGAGGAAGACTGAATCAAGGAAAACAGATCTCACAGAAGAGAAGAATGAAGGAAATCCCCAGAATAACAAAGAAGGGCCAACAACCTTGCAGCAGGCAACCTGCTTACAGGGAGAAGAGAACATGGGACTCTAGGAGTGATGTCTCCCCCTAAAAAAATAGAATGAATATGTTACCGATATGTATGGTCATATTGACAGGCAATTTTATTAGCTGTGGATGAGTTAGCTACAAATGCATAGAAGACTA